AGCTGCAGCCCCGAGTCGGCGGGGAAGGGCGGCGTGTGGGAGGCTCTCGACGCCCAGGCGAGCCGCCCGCCGCTTTCACCGGGAGTTCGGGCTCCCCGCCACGCGTGGAGCGGCGTGTGTGCGGGGATGCGGGGTCGGATGGGCTGGGCTGCGGGCTGGGGCATAGAGCAGGGGCCGGAGGAGTCTGAGGAGTGAAAAGCCTTTCCCTTGGCGTGCCTGTGTCGGCATCTTCCTCGCTCTCCACTCCCTGAAGAACTTCACAAAAAACCATACTTCTGTTCCTAGGAATCAAAAATATTCAGAGGTGGCAAGTTTAAAAAACAAACAGGCAAACAGATGTGTCATGTATTTTGACAACTAGCATGTTCGTCTGCTGTCACTTCTGTCAGTCAACTGCTTGATAAGAAATTGAATACGATTTTATTTCCTGGCTCTACATTGCAACTCCTGCAGCTCCTACAGGTAGGCTCCTCTTACAGGAGGAACCTATTTGGATGAGATAACATTCTTGTCAGTGCAAGAAATAATCAGATGAGAAATCATGAGTGGGAGAGTAGAAGGAGGAATAGGTGGAAATTAAAATCCATATTGGCCTCCTATGTGCTTCTTCCAGATACCTGTGGGAAGAGATGCTACAGCTAAAACTGGATTTTTGTGGGGAAAACTATGAATTTATTAAAAATCTGTGATCTGTATCTCTTCATTTCAGCTGATCTTGATGGAGGGATTATACTTGGGTGATGTGGAGAATTGCAACTCAGGCTGAATGCTTGTACTGTATATTAATTTACTACATCATTCATTTGTATGGGAACTGAAAACCATGAAGGGTCTCCAACACCTCTTTGTTCAATTTGTGGCTAACTTTTCAGCAGGGCAGCCTGAGGAAAGCCGAGTAGTTTGCCTTTCCATGAGGGCACCCACCTGTAACAAAAGTGTCTGTCCATTTGCGCGTGTGTTCAGCATCAGTTTTCTGTAGCAGAGAGAGCTGCTGTGAAGCTTTTGTATTTTATTCCAATATTGTGAGTGGTGAAAGGGAGGCTGCTTTTTGGCATGCACTAGGACATGTCATTTGTTTTACAGATGAGTTAAGTAATGCGGGGTTAGATCATCCTCACCCAAGGTGATTAAATCCTTAGCCCTGCAAACGAGCTGTAGCAACTAAACTAAGATTATCATCTTACCCGTTTTCCAATGCTCTCTGTGAATCTGCTAAATTAATAACAGCAGTTAGAAAGGCAAAAGACTGAGTATGGGAGACCAGCTGTTAATGGGCTGGGGGACCTTGTGAAGGAAAGAAATAAAGTCGTCCTGTCTGTGTTCTGGGGTGGCTCCCGGGCCACTGGTGCCCCGCTGGGTACCTGCTGCCAGTGGCAGCGTGCCGGCTGGTCCCACAGTGCTGGCTCCTTCCTGCCAGCAGTGACAACCTCGCAGCGAGCCCCCTGCTGCTGCTCTGCCCTGTGAGGTGGTGCTCTCCTGGCTGTGGGAGGGTGGTGGTTTGGCAAGAAGGGAAGTGGCACATGAGGGATCTCTGTATTTCATCACCGGTAAGGCTGTAACAGAGTTCGAGAGCAACAGGGCTGCTTACTTAGCAGCGCTCTGGATTTCACTACTGGCATTTTTCTGTCTGGCTCTGTAGGCTAGTGAGGCATTCTGTGAGAAGCTGACCAGCCAGTGAACTGGGTGAAGTTCTAATGTACTGTGATATGTGGCTGGGCAAGAGTGGTGGAGTCACTTTTTTGTGGAGGCCACTGCCAGGACATAATATTGAGCTAGGCTAGATCTGTTTTGGTCTGTCAGTCCTGTGCCACCGCATAGGAAATGGCCACTCTCCCTAACAAAACTAGCTTTACATTTATTTTCCACCTTCCTGCTTTCCCACGATCTCCTTTGATCCTCTGGTTCCTCCTTTATATGCCTTTCGTTCTTAAACGTGCTTACATAGTTGGCTTCCGTGTTTTCTCATGGTAACACATTCCATATATTCACTTCTGCTTGAGGGAAACACTCCCCGTCCACCCACACATGTAACACTGCTCTGGGCCAAATTCTGATTGCTTCTGTGTCAATGTAAATCTGAGCAGCGCCACCGACTCTGGCCCTGCTGCCTTGGGGTCGCAACAATACAGCTCTGGGTACAACGTGGCCCTTTGGCTGGTTTGAAGGGTCAGGGAGGCTCCTCTGAGCACGCGCCCACGTCACACGACAGAAATATCTGTTCTGTAAACAGTTCTGCTCCTCACAAGGTATGCTGTGGAATAGGCTTTGCTTTCATGGGTTTTGCAAATTGCAGAGAAGCTTTCTGTAATGCAGAGGAACAGTGTATCCTGAATAAGGAGACATAATTGATTCTTTCTGGTATCCCAGCTCTTTACAAATGCATACAGTGGAACTAGCAGGATGATTTTTTAGCAGCCCAGGAACACCGTAGCTGAAATTCAAGCCTGGGGTAAAGAGGGAGGTGTGGTACCATGCTGAGCGAACGCGCTCAGCGCTGCCAGATCACTGACACACCAAAGCTCCCAGGGCTTCTGCCTGGGCACTGCTCTGCAGAAGCTCACCCTGCTGTTGCACGAGTTGAAAAAAGCCCCACGTACACACGGAGCCACCACTTCAGCAATTGCGCTTTCAGGGCTTGCCTTTGACTATTGCTTAGCAGGCATAGTAGAGCAGTGCTGAGACTAACAGACCCCTCTGCAGCTTGTGCTGGTAGGGTATGCAATTCCAGACCACCAACCTAGAGTAATTTGCTGTACTCCAACCCCCCTTCTTCTGGGGGTGGGGCGGAGTAGTATTTTTTTTTTAGGTATGAAATTTACAGGATCTCCAATCAAATTAAAGGTGTCCCAGGGTCAACCCGTGAAACTAAATTGCAGCCTCGAGGGAATGGAAGATCCCGAGATGTTGTGGATCAAGGACGGAGCAGTGGTGCAAAGCGTAGACCAGGTGTACATTCCAGTAGATGAAGAACACTGGATCGGCTTCCTCAGGTACAACAGATGCAGAGAAGGAAGAATATCTTGGAAACTATTGCACAGTTTTCTGCTATCGGCTATATCTATGCAACTGCAGTGCCCTTGGTGGGGCAGGGTTCTTAGGTCTGCAGTTTAGTATGTGGCAAGGGCATAACTGAGAGCAGAACTGAAGCCATTGAGGGCTGAGATTTTTATGCACTAGAACCATATTGATTTCCCAGCTTCTCTGGTGACAGGTGCTTTGCTAATGCTTGTGATGCTTGAGATGTGACTTCAAGGTGAAAGGATGTTCTTGCCTTGTTTGTTCATCTTGTTCTGCCATGCAGCAGGAAGACTAAGGTCTGGCTTATATAAATAGGTTTTCTCTCTCATACTCATTCTGTTCTCTTACTCTCTCTCTTGAGCTGTCAATCTGCCGAAAGGGTGAGGGTAGTTAATTGAAATGAGACTCCCAGGATACGTCCCCTTCCTTTCTTTGGGGAGAAGCATTTATCACCTTAAACCATCCCTGAGTTATTTTACAGAGGCTTTTCTAATACATTTACACTACATGATATCAGTCCTGCAAAGCAGCTTTCTGTGCCTTTATTTCAGCAGAAGAGGGATGTCAACTAGGTCTGCAAGTACTGAGTTAAACAAGACCCAGAGTACTGCTCTGGCTTTTTCTATGCGTAAAGAGAGCTTATACAAGCAAACGTGCCATCACTGTGAGAGCTCAAAACTGTTGACTTGAGAATTGCTCTTCCCTGAGCTCCAGCTTCATCTCCTGTTAGGTTTCTTGGATTGACGTTGCATGGAGTCTCCAATTCCAGCAACTAAAAGTCTCTGTGCCAAAGCTTGTCTGTAAGAAATGTCTTGATAGGAGAAAAAAATCTGTGCCCAGTAAAAGTATGGCATAACTTTATGTTGTGGAAACAGTTTATCTTGAAACTCTTACCATTTACCAGTTCCACTAGTTAATTCTCTTTTCCCCACACAATCTCTGCCTGATCTCTTTTCTCACCTCTTGTTTTCCTCCGTTGAGAACTGTCTGCAGCACCAGGGCTAAGTTAGGGTGCTAAATCTAGATATGGCTGTATCTTTTTTTCCTTTTTCCTTTCTTCTTCTAAAGTGATTGTTTCTATCGCCCACTGTGTGACTCTCTGCTGCAATCGCTGTGTTTCAGAACGTGCAGCTGGATGGGCAGGACAGCTAATGCCATTTGAAGGTACAGCTCTGAAAATCAGGCTGTAGTGGTCCATTTTGTGCATTTCAGCAAAAACCACTCCCATTTCTGTCTTCCTTCCCGAGACACTCTTCCCCTTCCCCAAGGCAAATTGCTAGCATTAGAAAGGTGGGCCTCTGGTCTGCTGAGGATCCCTGCATGGCAGCAGATGCATGGCTGCACATCCCGGGGGCGGGGGGGGGGCAATCAACATTTGTACATTGACAGGCACTCGGAGCCACACTCTGGTGCCTTTGGTAGCTGAGACCTTGTTGCTTTGGGACCAAATTCTGCCCTTACTTACCGTGCTAGCTTTGTGTTGCTAACAGCAGTGAGGATACCACGGATTTCCAGTGGAGAGGCAAGGAGCAGAATTTCTACCCTGAACTGGAGGCTTAAGACTTGAGCGGTGCTCAGTCCCCATGGCTGCCTTCCTGTGCTTGGGTGCATCTTCTCAGAAGGGGAGCTGCTGCTGAGCAAGGGAGGACACAGAAGAGTTTGTAGGGTGAGGTCCTGTGCTGGAGTAGGCCAGCATAACCCCTTGAAATCATGAATTGGGAGGCCCAAGGAGTGTTGCAGTGTGAGGTGCTCTTGGGATAAGAATAACACGTGAGTGCAATTGAGGTGAGGGGGGCCCTTTTCTGACCCATCTATTCCTGTATGAGACTGTCACCAGTCCTGTCACGTAACTGAGGCAAAACAGTCGGGCTTATTGGAGATTTGTGATTTGGAGTTTCCTGCTGGCTCGGACATTGTAGGCCAAGCTGTCGCTCTTGAGGGCTAGCTACAGTCACAGTTCAGGATTGGGATGCACAACCGTTTCTTACACTCAGAGGACACAAGTGATGGGTTTTCTGCAAGGATGTTTCAGAGGAAGGCTGTCTGCTCTGCTGAGGATTCCCTCCACCCACTCTAGAGAGGAGCCTCCCGTCTCTGCTGTTTTGCCACGTGCTTTGTGCTGGCTGGCTGTTGCCCTCCTCCCCAGAGCTGGCTGCGTCTCAGTGGGTTTGCCAAACACCGGAGGGTCCTTTGGGGCAAAACCATGCTTTATCCACGTAAAATATCGATATGGCTTTTGACTTTTTTCAGCTTGAAATCCGTCGAGCGGACAGATTCTGGGAAGTACTGGTGCCAGGTTGAGAACGGGGGGAAGAAGGAAGAATCACAGCAAGTGTGGCTCATAGTGGAAGGTAAGGAGTAGTAGTAGTAGTGCTGGTTTCTTTTCAGAGCTGCCCCACCAATATGCTCTAGGTGGAAGTGGTGAGAGCAGATTGCTGCAGTGACAGGCTTCTTGGCTCTGAACCATTGCTACTAACTGCGGTGAGATCGCTACAGAGCGGGTGTAAGAAATAGGAGAGTAGCTTCAAAGAGAGGATCTGTAGGTTTACCTTCTGGTTTTGCTTTGGCACGTTAGAAAACAAGATCCTTTTGTGCACACACATGTCTTTCCAGCCCCTTGATCCATTGTTGCTTTCATCTCCAAATAATTCTTAGAATGATGGGATAGTCAGGGTTGAAGGAGATCTGTGGGGATCATCTGGTCCAACCCACTTCTCAAAGCAGGGTCAGAGTCTCGTTCTGTGTATCAGCCAAACGGGTCTTTGAGGCCAAGGTACAGTTTTAGCCCAATTCTGAGTGTCAAGGGAAGTACTGTACATCAGCCTTCATAGCTGTGACTCTTCCGTGTGGCACTGTTCTGTCCAGTCTTACCTGATATGAATAACTTCTACATGGTTGCTCAAAAGTGACCTAAGGCAGTGTGGATTGGTGACTTCTTGCTGTCTCTATTTTCATTTCCATTGAGCCATGATTGTGTTAGATCCTCAGGAGCTAGTAGTCATAGCATGGCTTAATATTTGATGAGGAAGTTGACAGGAACAGTGCTTTTGCAGAAAGAGTGGCTTTTTGGTAATTGGTAACATTTTGGGTCAGAGCTGAATCAACAGTCTTAAAGAGGGGGAGCAGGGAGGCTGTTGTGGGAGGTGGTATGGTCTGGGTGTTTACAGCAAAGGTTTCACTCACTCAGAGCCATGGAAACATCCATAGCAGTTCTCACAGGAAGAGGGAACCTGCTGCCTTCCATAAATCCCAGGTTTCTGTCCACCTAAATTTTCAGGTGAAGTTTCATCTGGAAAACATTGTTTACAGCTTAAATCTTATTCCAATTACCATGGCCTGCTCCAGAGGTGGCTGCATTTGCATAGTGGGTGCATTAGGTGGGTGATTGCGTAGCTCAGTGTGCTAAGCCATCTGAAAAAACAGGGAGCCCTTCTGGATAGCACAGGCAAAAAATATCAAAGTCACAAAAACCAGTTGCAGCTGGATAAGGGGGAGAGGTGAGAATGAAGGCCAAAGCTTACAGAGGAAGCTAAAAAATGCAACTAGTTGCCTTTTTGAGAAAAGCAAGTATGGCAGAAGCTGGTTAAACTTGAAGGAGCATGTAATCATGTGAAATGGGAGTTAGTGTTAAAAATTAAAAAATAACAAGTAGTGGTAAGGGGAGGATTTTTAAAAATGTGTCAGCTGTTAGCATAGGAAAACACCGGGGAATGCAAAAGCCTGTCAGTCCCACATTCACTGTTACCTCCATATGTATTTCTTCTCTGAGCGTATCAGCTTTGTCTAGAAGTGGTTTCTGTACTGATAACGACAGTTGCCCTCTGAGGATCTTTACTCTGGTCATTTGCAGTCTTCAGTAGGTGCTGACACCCTTCAGTGTGCCACGCAAAACAAGCGTGGACTACTGGTGATCTGACTTAGTGAGCTCGAATGGATTTCTGTGCTGTCTGGTAACCTGCCTTGAGTTCCACTTAGGGTGTCTGTATCAGGCAGAATATGTAGCAGTAGTATTGAACTGTCTTTACAATACTGCTGAAATGTTTGATCTTATGAAACATTTCTCAGAATTCACAAAACCAAAATTATCTTGAAACTGTTTTCTGATTTAGAAACTAGACTCTGACCTTACAGAGAACATGATAGCATTTGATGCCCAGGGAGGTGATCTAAGAGGCATGTTGCAGTGTATGACCATCTTAAAGATACGGATTATGCTTCTTGCAGAACTTTCCCTCTGAAATTACACCTGTGACTGCACAGCTGTTCCCAGGGCTGCTAGACCCTGTTGTGGCTACAGTCAGAGCCCCAGACACACCTGTATGGACACGTCCCCCTGAATTAACACTGAAAACTGAGCTGTAGGAAAAAAAAATCAGCCCTGTAGGTTGGACGTGGGCTTTGAACAGGGAATAGACAGGCTCATTTCCTTGCTTTGCCACTGATTTCCTGGCTCTTGTCTGCTCAGTGCCTCCATGGCGCACCTGTGAAAGTGGGGTGCAAGCATTTGCCTCTCGTACCAGTAACTGGGAGGCTAGATGTGTCGGACAGTGAGGTATCCAGGTTACATACAGAGGCAGCGCAAGTTCCTGAGCTGGATGAGTCAGCTGTACTCCCTAAACTATGAGAGTTTAATTGTTGTCTTGTCTGATCTGGTTAGCTGCTCCCAAAGTGAGAAAACCTGCCAAGCTGGACAGGGCCCTCCCAAAAGGTTTCCTCCAGTGCCATGGTAGAGGGACAGGAGGCAGGGATCCTGCTCACAGGTAGAAGAAGAAACTCTGGTATTTTCCCTTCTAATCTTCCTTGGAGAAGGAGGGCAAAGCATACAGAGGTGTCACATCTGGTATCTGGGGAGTTTATTCACTTTTATTGTTTAGGTATGACTGCAATAAAATAAAACATGTAAGCAAAAACCAGCCGTAAATCATGATGATGGATATACCTGTCCTGAGCATTAACCTTTGCACAGATAGGCACCATCATTCCTGCAATGACCTATTTTTTAGACCTGGTTTCGTTTGTTTGTTTACTTGCCACCCTGAAGGGAGTGGCAAGGAGGTGAGGAAAGCACAGAGAAACTGCCACCTGAAAGACACAAACAGTGACTGGACAGTCAATGAGAGACTGAGGACACCATTTTCAGCTGGAGTGTAGGGGAAATGTCAAGGATTGGTCTTCTGAATTCCTGTTTGGACACCTACATGAATTGCCTGCTGTTGGAGGTGCTCGGCGTCTGCCACACCAACTGGAGCTGCTTGGGCCTGTCATCTTTGGCCAGGGACAGACAGTGTAATTTAAGCATGTGAATGCACAGTGTTGGTTCCTCTGTTTCTGTGAGGCAGCAGATCAGAAGTTTCCACGACACGCTTTTTCTAGCTGAGAATACCTCATTTTGATGTAGATGCGGGCGGTAGCTGCTGTGCTTGACACCGAAAGTTTTGAGTGTAAAAGGGAACTCAGCGTTTCTCTGGGTCTTCAGCTCTTCCACCAGCCACCAGGAATCACACACTGGCTGTCCCTCAGGGTCAGCACTGGTGCTGACAGCTGGTGAATTTTGTGTGACTGGTTTGGAGCACTGAAATTACAACAGTTTTGGCGTTGCCCATGAGAGGACACACATCTCTTGATGTGTTGAGTTAAGCTCAGCTGTTGTCACTTAGAGATGACCTGAGGTAGTTAGCATTGCAGCCACATTTTATTCCCTGTGGGCCTGACCTAAGGCCTGTTGTATCAAGCAGGAGTCATTCCATGATGGGGAACAGATAGTTATCAAGAGAGCTGTGTCCATGGATAGCCTTCAGCTCTGAAATAAATTACCCCTAACTCCAAGGCAGCCTGGTTCTTGTGATGTTGGAGCGTGCTGGAAGGCGGCTCCTGTCAATTAAGCTGTGGAGAGAGCATTGTAAATGATCCCAGGCTCTCACCGGGGGGATTCTTTCCTCATTCATGGGTTTGTTACAGCCGCTGGTTCAACACATTCACAAGCTTCAGTTTTTAATGCAATGACAAGGAAGTATCTGTAACTGGAATAGGTATCTTTTAAAGTAGTGTCTGCCACTGCTAAAGTTATTGACTTTTGCCTCTTTAAACTCCAGTCTATCCAGCTGAAAAATTGAGCAAATACTGCCACTAAAAGCTACTTCATAGAGAAGTCTTGAAGGAGACTCAGCGGAAGAGGGTTGTCAAAGGCATTTTGGGAATCAAGCACTCTTTTTCTCTCTCGTTTCTTCTAGTGGGAATATGTAGACATTCATGTCCTGAGGTGATCCAGCATATCTTGAGCTTTGGTTCTTGTGAAGGGCTTAGAGGGAGTCGGATCAGGCATAGGGGCAGGGCAGTTGGGTGTCCAGTGTTGGGCACTGGTATTAGTGGAACTAAATAAGAGACAGGAGGAGTCCCTCCAGTTATTATCACTTGTCTGTTGCTTTTCTAGGTGTGCCCTACTTTACTGTGGAACCTGAGGATGTGTCCGTGTCCCCTAATGCCCCATTTCATATGGCCTGTGCTGCTGTTGGTCCCCCTGAACCAGTGACAATTGTCTGGTGGATGGGAGACTCTAGAGTGGGGCTTCCAGACTTCTCCCCCTCCATCTTAAATGTGTCAGGTAAGGCTGCTGCCGATGCAGGGGATCACTCTGAGCATCAGAAGAGGACGAGAGCTCTCTTCTGATCATGCCTAGTGACACTGCATAGCCACAGCGTGTGAGAATGGTCTTTGTACATTGAGGGTCATGATCATATGCAAAGCCATATCATCTCGAGGGGTGATCATTGCTCTGTGTTTTCAGCTGGCTTGAGGTGCACAGGCTCTTACAGAGCTTGGGTGGGGCTGGCACTGTGGTAAAGATACCACTGGACAGATGATGCATTGGGTGTGTCTCTTGTTCCACCTCGTGGAGGGTGTTCATAGTTCTGTTAAGAGACTCTGTTGGTGGCATTTGTCTTGGAAATCTCCAAGCGTTTGCATGTAACAGATGCCACCTCCTTCTCCTGTGCTCAGCCATGTCATGTGCTGCTTTCCCCTCTCTTCCCCCCTTCTCTGTTCTTGCAGGCTTGCTGGATGCTCTTAGCATTAAAACCTGACTGCCTCATGTAATTGTTTGACACTTTCAGAGTGGTTGTATTGTTGCTGAAGTGGGCTGGTTGATATCCTCAGAGACCAAGGTTTGCCCCAGAGCAGGCACTAGGGGCATTGTGGTAAGACTGCCTTCCCCAGCAGTGTCAGCTGAGGAACTCAGGAACCAGGAGGTGTTCAGGCCTCTGTTCAGCCCACTTCCAGGGAAGGGCAGTGTATCTCTACTAGGACCTGACCACAGCTGTTCTTGCAGTTACCTCCTAAAGGTAACTTTATTCTAGTTAGCTGTCCAACATCTTTGTGTTACTGCTTCTCTTTGCTGCTGTTTTGTTATTCTCAGCAGCCCTGAGCCAAAGTTGAACTAACTAGAAAGAAAAGGTTTTATGACTAAGAGTCATCTCTGGGGCCTCTTCATCAGTGTTAATACAGTTACACCCAGGGGGAGTTTCTTTCTGTACATCTTTGGCCATCATTTGAGCTATCCAATCCTATTAAGCCTTCCCTTAGAACATAATTTATATGCAAATCAAAACCTGATATGTGTTTTGCAGTGGTTTTATCATCTGGTCCCTCTCTTACGTAGCCACTTGATGCTGTTCCAAGTTGGAAATGAAAACTGCTCCCTTAAGATATAATCTGCCTGTTGAAATGGAAACTGAAAAGATTGATAATCAAGAGGGGAAAGACAATAAAAAAATAAGTCTCCCTTCCTCCACTGAACTCATCCCACGGTGCCTCACAAAACTTCTGTTATTGTGGGGTTGTGGCATGGAGGCTGATGATGGGCATCAGCTCCTGGTGGTTCTCCAAATGAATTACTATTATATATATTCATCACCATCACCTTTCTTTGCCCCTTTCAGTGTTCTTTAGGATGTTCCTTGGTCAGATCTTGCCTTTGCAACAGAAAAAATGTAGCAGGACACAAGCTGCATGGTCAGATTGCCAAAGCATGTCAAAAAAGACAGTTAGTAAGAAAACAAGCATTGCTAGCTAAAGAAAGTATTAAATTCTGAAGAAAATAGTAAAGTACTAGCTAGAAAGCAAACATTTAGAAAGTTCAGCAAGCAGTTGGTTTGGTAAAAGGACTGTTGTATTTGGAACAAAGCAGTGCTGGCAGTGGTGCTAGAGAGCAAGGAGATCTTGGTTTGTGGTGTGTTTTGTGTTTTCCTCAGGGCAGGGCCGTGTTTGGTTCTGTCTCTGGGACATGCCTACCATGTCAGGTGCTGCTCTGCTGCCTGGCCTTCAGCCTGTTGGCAGCATTTTCCTGTGGTTCACTGGGGTGAGTGGAAGAAGCTCAAATACTTTTCTCTTTCCTTTTATAGCATTCCTCCTCTCTTCTACTACATCTTCTTCTCAATGCTGTTAATCTCAGGCTTGGGAGATGAATCAAAGGGCAAAGACTAGACACTCTGTAAGCTGCTCCATGCAGCTCTGAAATCTTTTTTTCTCCTAAACTGTGTGCCCATAGCGTGTCAATCCTTAACTTTTCTCAGCTAGAGCCCTATAAGATAATTGAGGGCCAAGTCAAGTTAAAACATATGCTGGACACACTTCTCCAGGCAACTCTGCATATTTGTCTCAATTCTAATTAGTTAGCAATACCTATATGCATCTTGGAGCAGCTGGACATCACTGTGATGCCATGTTCAGGCCCTGTGGGATGGATGGATGCTCATAGAAGAGAGGGAGTGTAATCCTCCCTTGTATCACCCCTGGAAGGTGCCTCAGTGCTGATACAGTAGCATTTAACTTCCACTTCCTTTGCATGTCTTCAGAAGCCTGATGCAAGGTGAGGGACAGGTGGGCATTAACTTGAAATCTGCAGCATCTGGTTGGAAGTTTGCCTGGACTTGTAGCCCAATTAGAAGATGGTTGTTGCTCAGGTGGCACACTGAGGTCCAGAGCATTGAGCGTTGTATAAGCACACAGTTCAGCATGATTCTTACTCCAAAGATGCTCACCAGGATGTGAAAAGTGGACATCTATCTACTAACCAAGCACTGTGAGCTGCTCTTCTGCCAGATTCATCCTTCTTTTTCTGTGCTTTCTGAAGCTCTTGTGGAAGCTTTTCTGCATTGCCACTATCTCCCCATTAAAAATGTGTTTAGCACATAAATTACATTGAAATCCACGTGCCTTTGATTGGCAGCCAGCTCAGCCCTCCAATTGCCTGTACAGCTTGAGCTGGATGTCACACATAATTGAAATTCTGCTGAAGGTTGAAGCTGGATTATATAGCTGTTTGTGTTTCCTTTCCTTTTCTTGGCTGATCTCCAGGTATTAATCAAAGCACAGTTTTCTCCTGCGAAGCTCACAACGTAAAGGGATTGTCTTCATCTCGGACAGCCACTGTTCAAATTAAAGGTGAGAGAGTGAAAGACAATGGGCAAGGGACTTGGATTTGCTCTCTGGGGAGGGAAAATAGGGCTCCTTAATGCAAGCGGTTGTCCCAAGCTGCCAGCACTGCTTGGAGCTCTCAGCAGTCGAAACAATGCTTTGTGCTCTAAGAGCAGTTCCCGCTTGCTATGCAGAGCCGTCTCCCAGGCTGTTGAAAATAAACCACAACTGATTCAGGAGTGGAAATGTGATGTCAAATAACAGTTTTTCCTTGAAAAGGAGAGAGTCAGAGCAGTCAAATTGTGAGAGATGAAGCTGGATATGAATCTGTAGCTGGGGAAATCTTTCCTTCTTGGAGATAGATGGGTCTTGTTAGAGCTAAAGAGGCCATTACTTCTGCTTGCTTCTATTGGCATCACATGAGATGCTGAAAAAAGACAAGGCAATCACCAGTGGCCAGTAAAGTCTGCTCACTACACTGTTTTTATGGAATTATTTTTTTTTTTAAATACTGTGCTCTTTAAAAACTCTTTCAGAAATAATTCCTAGCCTTTGCATGACCAGTTGCCATTTGAAAGTCCCTAAATTGATGTCACGTTGCCTCTGTTCCTCCAGGTGACTGAAACTGGGATAATCAGAGCAATCAGCTCTTCCCCTTCTCTTCAGGTTGAGATGCTTTTGCATTTGAATTTTTAGTCATGCCTTAATGTGCATTAAATGGCATGATTATCACTTCCAGGAGAGGCGTGTCACAAAAATTGTTTGTTCAAAGTGGTAACTTAATGCTCAGTGTGAATAAGAGCAAGCATTTATGTCTGTATAGAAACTCACAGTTATATTAGCTAATACTCATTAAAGGATAGCTTAAAATCCAGCTGTAGATCTATCTACTGCTCTTACAGTGTGTTTTTCTTCAGGACATTGTGGTTACTGCTATGCCAAGAATGCAGTGTGCTGGACTAGTAAGATTTATAACTTAATTTAAAAACGTTTGGAGTTGTTGCCTTAAAGGCTTCTCTACACAGGGGAATTAGTTATTGCAGAATATGTCTTCTATGGATATTTTTATCCTGGGATTGAATAGTTTGCAAAGCTATTATGCTTTAAAAAAAAAAATCTCATCAAGCAGTAATTTAAAATAACATTTCAGCTAAATAACATTTAGCATAAAGAAGCTTTTTTCTTTTTTTTTTTTAATGTTAACACGGATTGTCATTTTTTTTAACCATTAATAAGATGATGGTGTAAAGGCCTTGGAATTCTTGCATTTCCCAGCAACTGTGTTTAGCTAAAGGTGCTTCATAGGAGTCAATCATCAGCTAATGAATCTGTACAACCTATTTGGGAGGGACATATCATCATCACACACTTGTGCGCGCACACACACACACACACTTTTTAGAGCTGAGGAAGACCGGGCTTAAGTGGTTGGGCAAATGCTGCACCAGTATATGTGGCATGTCCTAGAAATAAAAAACGAGTCTTAATTAGCAAGTCCAGTGCTGTAGTTGTAAAAGTTCTGTCTGTAATACCTCAAAGATATATCTAAAAGATTAGTTGTAAACTTGGGGAAGTAATGAGACTCTTCTAAAGAGCAAAAGTTTTGAAGATCTAGTACAGCCCTTGTTAAAATTAAAGCAAAGCTCCTAACAAGGACATCAGCAGGAACAGGAGCAGGCCCAGATAATGTTTATTTCATCCTTGATCCTGTGAACATGTAGACTTCAATGAAATTATTCCTGGGAGTAGTTGTCTATACATACGTAATCAGGGCCTTCCTCTCTTACACAGCTCCATCTGTTAATGAGAATTCTCAAGTCTTTCTACAATTTATTAAACAATTTGTTTCTTCTGTGTTTCCAGAAGCAAATATTTTTGCTAGGACATTTACAAACTGTTAACATTTCTTCCTATTTGCTGCTGTTGTTCATTATCTATTCTCTGTAGTGCCTACAATGTGCTGGGTGTACTCCAAGCAGAAAATTACTGTTATTGTAGCCCACAGTCCCCAGCCAAGTACAAAGCCCCATTGTTCCAGCTACTCTACAAGCACGGAAGTTACTTCTCATTATGTTAACACTTGAGGTCCTGTTTTCAGACTGGCTTTGCTCTCCTTCATGTGTGTGGCAAAGACTTTCAGGGTTGTATCCCGTGTTTCAGAGCATAACAGGAAACAGCCACCCAGTTTTTTTCCCAATGGATGATGGGGAATGCATCTGTCCCTTCTACAAATTCTAGTTAGGGGAAGGTGCAAGCAAGCTGATCTTCTTCAGTGGCAGTCTCCATTAGAGAGTGGATGTGTTAGCAGTTAATTACTTATTCCCACTGGTGGTACAGCCCGTACCTCCTTTGGGCCTGCTGTCCAGTGTTGAAAATTATGTGTTGCTGAACCCAAAAGTTAAGAGTGTGTTTACAAAAGACTTGAGGGCAGTGCTTCAATGATACCTGAGTAAACACTGAAAGCAAGCTTTTTTTCCACAAAAGTTGCTTAAAAACCTGAATATCCAACATCAAAAGGGAAATAAACCAAGACACAGAAAAGTCTGAAGTTAACTCACAAAGCCCTTTTACTGAAAGGTATAAAGAACTCGTTGCCCATCTTCTACCCCAGACCTGTGCTGTGCTGTCCCACCTCCCACCCACCCATGCTGTTCTTATCGAGGTGGCAGCCTTCTGCCCTAGCTCCTAGTAACTAGTTAACCAGACAACAAAGGCTTTATAGGGTTAATCTGTGGCACCATTAACTCTCTGCCCCATCCTCCCATCTGCAGAGACCTGGGAGGGGGCTTTGGTCTATGCATTTCTCCTGTAAAATGGCCCTGTGGAGATGCTGAAGGCAGTATTGTGACAGAGGTGCTCTCTGGCAGAGTAAAAGATGCAACTGGAGGAATCCTGGTTTGCAATGACTTTTCCACTGCTGCTTTCCACTGGATATTGGGAGAGGTGGAAAATTTGGTCTGCAAGCAAAGCTTTGTCCTGAGAACCTCAGATTTTTGAAGAACTCCTGAGGGTACAATTTGTTGAGATGCTGCTGGAAAATTATTACTCATGGCAGCAGCATAGGATTTTTTAATTGAGCAAAAGGTTAGAGGAGAGGTGCCTAATTTTTTCAAGTGATTTTTTTCAGGAGTGAGGTGCCTAAACAAAAACAAAGGAGTGAAAAAGAGATGGTGAGGGGTGTATGGGGAAGAATGGGAAGTAACTACGTGGAATTACAGTGGGAGGAAAAGAGAGGGGAAAGGGAAGCATTGGGGATCCTAAAGGGAAGCTAAAGAGCTCAGGTTAATGTGACAACATACTAGAGGCTCCTGTGGTGATGGAGGTGTCTGGTCAGAGTGAGAACAGAGGGGCAGCGTGCTGGTGCTGCTCTGTGGTGGTAGGAAGCACAAACATCAGATTCAGTGGCCAGTCTGGGAATCCTGATTGCGTTCCTGGCTCAGCCCTTCGTTTGTAGTGTGGTACCAGCCATGTAACAGGCGCTCCCTTTGCCTTGGATTGCCCCTCTCTGAAACAAGAGTGCTTTCCGAGTTTGTTCATCCCAAGCCTGGAAGAGGCACAGTTTTCAGTCCAGGGTGTTGGAGGAAGAGTTTGTAGTGGGCACCTGGAGGCAGCACTTTCACAGGGCAAATCCAGCTGCTTTGGGGTCACTGCAGCAGAGCACCCTTCGACTGGTGCAGGCAGAGTTGGTTTCGGGGGCTGGACTGCGAACCGGGGGGGGGGAGGAATTTTCAAAGCCCTGATCTGATTCACAATGGAGGTCTGCAGGCAGTTGTGTGCGCAGGGCTGGGTCGTGCTTTGCAATGGAGGGGGCAGGGAAGAGGGCTGAGTGGCGAAGGTGTAAACATCACCCGCTGGCACTGCTATCAGAGAGATCAACCGCTGCCTGTATGCATCAAGCAAGTATGCTGGACTATTAAAGAATGGATGCCAACAGCTGGTTCAATGTTAAAATAATAGTTTAATTCCCAACAGACAGGGGCACTCTCAGAAGATGTGATAATGTACCATCTCTGTTAGTGATTTCATTGCATAATTTCTAGCCTCAAGCCTCTCCATTTCCATGTGAATACCTGCTCGGTTCTGTGTATACTGAAAGGTCTCTTTGTTTCCTTTATAGCCATGCCTCTCCAGCCTCTCAATGTAACTGTAAGCCAAGTCACCAGCAGCAATGCCAGCGTGGTCTGGGTGCCAGGATTTGATGGCCATGCACCCCTCCATTCTTGCACTCTTCAGGTATGGCCCCTCTGTGTTGTTCCCTGCCTTGCATGAAGAATGGGACTCCCCTGAGCCACATGTTGCTTGGGCCGTCTTTTGTTCTCCTAACTGCTTTGTAGCAGTGTTTGAAATCTTATTTCACAATTTAAAAACATGGAAGCTTAACAAGATGCAACTCAGTGCTTATATAGGTGCCAAAGAGTAAGGTGTGAAGTTTTGAATGTGAAGTGTCCAGTTGAGAATTTGAGACTAGCCCCATTCTTCTTCCTGGGAGGTTACCACATCATGGGAGGTTACTCCATGCAGAGCGTTACACTGCAGCACCTAGGAAGCACATATCAATCACTCTATGGGAAGTGCCCTTGAGTGGCTGCAGGGTTCTCCCACGTGGAGCTAGTGTGGAGCAGCTGGCCCATGGCAACTTGCTCCAGTTCAGTGCAGAGGCCTGTGGCTCCCATGCCAGCTCAGCCCTGTGCTTTGGTGTGCCCGAGGAAATGCTGGGCTCTGGACATACCACTGAGCCCAAGGAATGAGGAGCTTGCAAAGTATAGGATGTGGTACAGGAGGGGTGGGAATGGTGGAGGTAGGAGACAGATTGGGCTTTTTGATACAAAGTCAGGCCTGTTTGGATATTTCAGAGTAATTTTAAGCCCTGCCTCTAAATCTTGATTGGTTTTCTGTTGTCAGAGTCCAATTCTGCCCAGAAAATCAAGGGTGATAATATCCTTTAGCTCTACCAGGTACTGAGTACTCAACATCTCTGAAAAACTGATTTCCTTCTGTAGGTTCCTGGCATCAATCATACGTGTCCAACTTCAGGCAGAGATAGTTTCTAGGATTGGACACTTAACTGTAAAGTCAGATCAAATAGCTGGTAACCTGAGTGTCAGAAAGAAATTCCTGAAGCAGGACAGCTGTGCAAACACAGCTAGGCACATTCCCCATGGATTTGTCTACCAGGTGTGTATATTGGGCCCCTATGCTTCCCCTACCTGATTATAGCAGCAACCTGAGCTGGAGTGGAATTTCTATGGGGTGTTGCCAGCTATGTGAGGAGGATTATAAACACAAGGTGTACTGGAAGCAGCCTAGCTCATTTACTTGCAGTCCTCTCTTTATTTGGGAAGGAAACCAGAAATTTCATGTTCTGATGTTTATTCCCTTTCATAAGTAAAAGAGACCCTCAGTTTTAACTCACCGACAGAAAGAATGCCTGAATAGAACTGGCCCCAGTCTCTGGTTTTTGTTGCTGCTTCTGTTCTTGTTAGCAGTCAAATGGTTTTCTTCCTCTGTTTTGTAAAACAGAGTTATCTCCAGTTGGAACAGCCTATTCTCTCTGGTTTGCACGCTGCAATGCTAATCACCCTGGGTTTTGAGTTCCCCCTCTCAGTTTTGGCAGGGGCAGGGGTGGGGGGGATGGGACATGTGGAAAAGAGGCTGAATCAGAGCAGCTTAGTTTCTGTCCACTCAGCAGTCTCTCACCCCTTTTCTAAGCCTTCTCTGTTCTGTTTGGGGAGGACGAAGTTCCTGCGTTTGGATCTGGGAGCAGGGTAGCTTGGCAATAACCCTCCACTGACAGAAAGCTGTGCTTCCTCTGTCTCCCACATTGAGAGATTTTGTGAGAGACACTGACCCACATTTCTGTGTGAAGATGCACATGCTCCTGGCTCTCCATGATTGCACTTTTGCTCAGAGCCTCCCAGAAAGAGAAGGGGGATTGAAACTTGGCTGTGGTTTTCTTGCACTTTGGAATTGCTGCGGATGTCCCAAGAGCACCATGTCCAGACAGGCGGATTGCTTCTGGGGATGGGGTAGGGAATCACCACGTTTACCAACTGTTAATGCAAGCCATGCTCTGAGGCATAAAGGAGGCAGATGTGAGAGCACCAACTTCAGACTGTTGAACAGAAACACATCATCAAACTGACAGGGTTTTACACAAAAGTCTGCTTGTTTCCTTCCCTGCTTTGGATGACACTGTTAATGACAACAATATGCTTTTCTATTAAGAGAACTTGAGATTCTTCCTTTTTATTAGCCAAGTAAATCAGCAGGCCCAAAGTGTGCGTGAGAATGAGCAGAAGGGCAGGGAGAAAGGGAGAAGGACTGCTGTATAAAGAATATAAAGTCCATGAGTGTTTCACTTTCATCAGTATATCTTGCTTTTACTCCCAGCTTTGCTGTTTCACATGCTTGAGAAAAAAGATAGTCTGAGCCCGGGAGCTAAGCCGTGATTTCTGCTATTGTCAGTACAAAAGCAGGAATGCTGAACCTGTTTGTGCATTAAAAGCACACAGTGATATCAGATTTCAATTAACATTCATGTTGCTTAAAAGTTCAGATTTGGAAAAAAATAAAAAAGAAGGGTTGCAGGAGTGGTAAAAAGTTTCTTTTCAGTTTAATTTGAAACGGTTTGGTTGAACCAAGTCAACAGTGTCTACCATGTCTTTAATCCCCTACAAAACTGAAAATATACAAAATTCTGAAAAAGGAGTTGAGAAAAAATTGACACTAGGCAACAGGGAAGTTGATCTACCAATTTTCATTGGCCAAATTTAGTCAAGCCTCAGAGCCAGCTGCTAACACTCAAAGCAACGAGCAGATTTAGTTTTCTTTAAAAGAAATAATAACCATCTGTAGAATTTGTAACAGAAGTAAGGAGATGTTTTAAAATAAGAGGAACCAAATTTTCAGCTGGTGGAAAATTGTTGTCCTGCCAGAGTTTGGAAAGTGATGTCACGCCAAATAAAAACATAGCTCATGATTCTTAGTTTGACAACTCCCTTTTCAGTATTTTAAACACCACCGGTACCATTATCTATTCTTACACTTTCCTAAACTAACCGTGAAATGGGTTCTTATCCCTATGGACCTGTTAGTCACGTGGCTTATGATAACAGTCTTCTCTGTTCCACTCTTGGCACAGGTAGCCGAGTCACCAGATGGCCAGGAGGTCTCCACTGAAGTCACTCCAGTGCCACCCTTTGCCTACGGTGTGCAAGGCCTGAAGCATTCCACCAACTACAGTGTTCGTGTGCAGTGCAGCAATGAGATGGGCAGCTCCCCTTTCACCGACAGGGTTTATTTCCAAACCCTGGAGCTTGGTAAGCAAATAGCAGACAGGAACAGGAAAGCAGTTCTGAATCTCAAAATGAGACAGTGATAAATTTCATTTAACTCCTCCTTGCTAATTCTGAAATGCAGGAAATGTTATACTATCAGATTACTTGTCTGCTCTAAGGGTCTCCTAACGTAAAATAGGTTACGTTTATATACGTTACATATAATGTTTTATCATTAATAATTAATTTACGTTTATATGTTACATATAATGAGTGCAGTCAAATGTGGTTAACAGCAGTGATGCATGATACACAAGTTGATCCAGCCACAGGGCTTCTGCGTGCCGGGCGTTTGTCTCATTCATTGTCTGAGACTCTTGGGGTCTTGGAAAGAAATGAGAGATGCTGACCCATCTTATCGTTTCCACGTGAAGCAAACATAGTGCTGGTGGCTTGCAGAAATTATTCTCTCCCCTCACACTCTCTCTTCCGGCTGATCTCAAGAAAGAGGGTGAAACTGTCTTTTCAGCCATTTTCAGTGTGGATAGTGCCTTATTTTCCTGCACAGAGTGATTGTGTTCTGTCCTCTGCTTTCAGCTCCAAGCAGCACCCCACAAAATATCCATGTTATTCAAAGAGATCCTGGTCTGATTTTAGAGTGGGAAGGTGTGGCTCCAGATGTGCTGAAAGAAAATGTCCTGGGATACAGGCTGGAGTGGATTCAGGATAATGTAACTCAGGTAACAAATTGAGAGGGGAGCTGAGCCATTGGGCACAGAGTTGGAGACTGTTCATATTAAGTCTTCTAGGTATTAGGATCCCTCATCCCTTATCCATACCAGGGGACTAGATTACTGGCATTGCTTTTGTGTAAATAGATTTTTTTCTGATTTGCAACAACTCCTCAGTACTCGGCCTCGAGATTTCCCCCTTCCTGGCATATTCAGAATTCCTTCACTTGAATATTTATCTGTGGGCAGAGCAGTTCTCTGCCATTCCTGGTACAGCAAGGACAATGTAAAGAGAATTCAGTTTGTCTTTGCCTCTTTCTAGTGCTGTCCCAAAGGCAGCTCAGACAATGCAGAATCTGGGCTTTCTCTCCCCTGTGACCGGGACTTGGCTTTCCAGAACCTAGCAGCAAACATGTATTTAACAAGTGAATGAGTTATACTGTAAATCATGGGAAGAAGGTTGTGGATTCTTTTGTTTCATTTACAATATGTAGGGAGTTGAAAGGACCCTGTCAGGGTAGAAGGCCTTTCATTTGTTCTTCAGCGTTGATCTTTCCCAGGTATCTATTTGCCTTTGAAGTTCACAGCATTTCTTATGGTTTCGTCCTTCTTAAGATGTATTTAGCCAGAGCTTATTAATGATGAACAAGCCTTTAATAATAGACAGCTAGAGGGAAAAGGCACTTACTTCCTTTTTTGCATGACCCATTTCATACTAGGTCAGCATCATTGACTTTGAACAACAATATTTTGAGTTCCCATTGAACTTACATTATGTCAGTGGTGGCAGCCTAATCTTCATGGGTTTACTGCAAATGATGTGTATGAATAAGATCCACAAAATTACGGAAAATATGTTGGCCTTGCCATCCTAAGTGAAAATTTGCCATGAAATTCAGAAGCAGTTGGGGATTTGGTCAACAAGTTAAAACAACTCCTCTCTTGGATTAAAATTGTCAGGTGTTTTGGAGTATGTTAGTGCATCTTTGTGTTTAAACCACAAGAAGGACGTGTATCTTTTAATAGCCCCAAAAAACCCATTTCTGTGGCAACTTTCATGGAAGGACCTCAAAAGAAGAAACCATTAAACCTTATATATTCCCTATGCCCTGGGAAACCATTAGCAATTTTGGAGAAGAGAAGCCCAAGATGACAGCCCAAGTTAGTGGCAAAACAGAGACTAGGACCCAGGAGTCACAACTCCCAACCCTTGTTATAACATCAGTGAAGTACATGGTATTGTTTTCATTTAAAGATGAGGTTTTAGACTAGATCCCTTTTAAGACTGCTTACAGTTTGTTGCCATTTGCTCTCAGGGGGAGATGATTGTACAGGATACAAAAGCTAATCTCACAACATGGAATCCTCTCAAAGACCTGATCATCAGGGTGTGTGTGCTGAACTCCGCAGGATGCGGGCCTTGGAGTGACATCTTCCTGCTTGAAGCCCAAGAGGTCATGGGTGAGTGTTCACTGCCTTCTCTTCACTTCGGGGAAAAAAGCCAGAAGCACTGAAGCTGCTGGTTTTCGTCTGACTGAGTGCTTACAACTGACTGAGCCACGTGGCTTTATACAACAGCACACTTCATCAGGCAAAGTAGAAATTAAATAATATTTAAAGAGATGGTATAAACAAAACAGCTTCTGGCCACTACTCTGTCTTCTTAAACCAGCTTTTGCTGTGCTTAGTGCAGAGCAGGGCAAGGGGAGACACAACAGAAAAGATGTAAATAAAGATTTGAAATCCTTCATTTAGCCTTAAGCCACACACATTTACAAGACTAAATGTGACAGAAAACTTTGATTTAATTTGAAGCCATTACTGACTAGTTTCAGTTGAGCCTGATTTTAACCATGACCACATGGGGTTCTGTAATGGTTTTGTGTTTATATTAAACCAGTTTAGCTCTCTCCATGGAAAAGCCGAGCTAGTGGTAGAAGAGGGAGGCGATGGCACAGAACCTGTACCATGGAGTCTGGATGATGTGGAAGGGTTTGTTGGGAGTGAAAACATGCATGTGTGGAGTGCATTGCTAAGTGATAAAGGGCAGTGAAGCTTGTCTGCACTGGTTTGCTTGCTGCTTCTATTTCACAGTGAGTGGGAAATGGGAGTCACGCTATGGAGAAGTGCAGGATGTTATATGGGGAGATGGGTAGAAGGGAGAGACGAATGCTGCTTGTGAAGGCAACTGTAAAAAGTTTGAGGAAGACGTGAATAGAAATTTAGATTGGTGGTAAGAAGTCAGTGAGGTGTGATTGTGCAAAATACCCCACTGTCTCCTGAGGTTTTGTTCCCAGTGCCTGTGGCAGGACAAGACATTAGTCTCTAATCTCTGATGCTTCTTTCTCCCCACTCCACATGTTGTTTGAGGAATCACATGGATATTGATCCCTCCTGATCCTTCCATACTGAAGAATGGTAGGGTGGAACCTAGAGTGGGGTTCCCAAGCAAGCAGGAGGTGGGGGATAGGGGTGAAGTAACGAGAAGAAAACTCTAGCCTTACTTTCAGTAGTGCATCTAATGAATGGTTTTAATGGGCATGTTACTAAGAAAGGCCCTTTGGCAACCCAGCTCCTGTGATGAAGACAGTACTAATGATTATGTGTGAGCACAGAGTCACTGTGGGATCAAAGCTCTCAAATTATTTAAAGCAGAAGGAAAGAGTACAGAGGTCCAGAGCTGAATCTACCAGAGGTTAGAGTTGGCTCCATCAATGTTTTTTCTCTTGCTTTTTGCTCAGCTATTTTCTGTGGCACCCAAATACAGAGAAAAGCACCTGAAAGGGCTAGAAGATCCCTTTGCAAAAAGGCCAGCACTGGCAAGAAGCCCCAGGGAATGTATAGGGTTTGCATTATACAGGGAGCTGGAATAGGGTAATCCCAAAAGCACAGTATGTTTGCTTGTTTTTATTTACAAACCACTTTAAAAAAAAAAGTAGCATCAGGAGTGGTGCTTGTTTTGGCCAAATGCTGTCTGGAAGCAGATATATTTCTTCATAAGCATAACAGACTGGAAATAGAGGTTCACTGTGGAAAAACTGACAGGCCTTAAACAGAAGAGCTGCAAAAAGACTGCGGTTTTGTTTTGGGCCTGGTAGAAAATATAAGTTGCTTGCTTTCCTAAAATAGCAAACCAGCACTGGTTCCTTTATGTGAGAAATGCCAGGGGTGGTTTCTGACCATCTCCCAGAGTGGCAGTAAAAATGAGTAAGCTTGTAAAAACGTTAAGTTGTATGTGTCATCACGTCAAAGCTAGTGGGAGCTCCACCCTGCTTATGGTCTTCTGCACTATTAACAAACATTGTTTTATTATTTTCAGAAACATTCTCTTAGAAAACTCTTGGATTACGTGCTTTGCACACTTTCGTGATATAAATCCTGCTACAGAAAGAAAAGGAGGGCTCCTAAATACTCATTTAAGGTCATCTAGTAATACTGTCTTCTCTCCACCTTGTGCAGTCTTAAGGCATTTGCTGATGGGTAAAAGGGGGTGCAGGAGATGGGAGAGGGGGAGGCGAGACAATTTGGTCTTTACTTGGGCTGCAGCCATCCTCTCTAGCTCAGTGGCATGAGTGGGAAGCAATGATCTGTGGGGCAGAGGAGGAGAAGCAGTGAATTTCAACATTAATTTCTATTTCTGATACATTTGCTATAAACTGTGGGATGGGCTCCTGATTCCTAGCAGTTTAGAAACAGGGAGAGTAATTTAGTTCTGTTTTTTTTTTTCATCCATCCTCCTTTTGGAGGGACCCCTGGGAAGGTGATCTAAATCCCTGCTCTCTCTCACCAGGCCAACTAGAAGACAGAGACTAGAAAAACAGGCCAAGAGAGGTTTGTCTCACTACAGGGGTGACCTAATGATAACCTTATCATTAACTATCAGAGAAGGCCTTTTATATCAGTGTTGTTAATTGTTTCTACCCTGATTGTTTGTCAGGAACAGCCAGAGTGATTGGCTTGGGGAATTGTGGAGAAGGTTGGAGTTACCTTTCTTGTATTCTCATTCAACTTCTCTTTCTGATCCCTCTCCCTCCTGATAAGTAGCCTTGAAGGCCGGGTCAAAAGGTGCAGCAAGAGGGAGTATCATAAAACCCAGAGCCTGTAAAGCCTCCTGGGTGGGAAAAGAATATATGAGTTACTGAAGGAGATAAGGTGCTGGAAAATAGGTGCTAAAGCTCTGATAATTTATTTCAAATGGAGAAGTACTACTCTGCTTCCTCAGTGGTCCAGAACTCTGTTTCCTTAAACTCTACCTAATTAGATTAACACTGCATTTTTAAAAACTTGGATGATAAGGCTTGACAGTGGCACTAGTAATCAAGCCTTAGAAGCTTTTTGCCTTCTGGGACTCTGCCAGTAAGGATGTGTGACTCCTTTTCACATGCATCTATGCAGAGGTTCATCCAAATCTGAGCTCATTAACCTAATACCTCTTTTAAGGACAGGTTTACTTATAGTGTCATGACATACAACATAATAGGATTACTTACATCATCAAAGATGATTTTTCCTTAGCTTCTGGAAAAGCACAGTCAACTACTGAAGGTGAGCAAGGGAGCATGAAGATGAAGGAGGTGCTTAGGGACCTGTTACCTGTTCTTGTTTGTTCTTAAACAATTTAGAGATATGAGGGCTATCCTAGATTTTAATAAACCCATTCAAATTCACATTTAATCTTTAGTAATTGTATTTGGAGAAGAAATCTCTTGGGGAATTGGGTTGATTTATCTGCTGTTTGCCAAGCATAGATAATATTCTTTTATTCGTAACAATATTGCTTATCTTCCTCCCCTGGCAGCTTACTCAGATTGGCAGCATCTCCCATTTCTTCTGTAGACAGTTTGTAGTCAAAAGTATACATATTCTGGGAGCAAATATTAGACCAGAATTGGAACCTGCATGCTGACTAACTTATTTCTTGACTCACAGGGCACTTCTTAAAATGTATTTTCTTTGGTGGAGAGACATTGAGAAATTACAACCAACCAACAACACTGGGAAGTTACAGCCAATACCAAGTTCCACAGGGTACTTTGTGGGAGGGGTGAGAGGGAGAAGTAAATATTTTCAATCAGATTGTGATGAGGCAATTGTTTTTCTCTATTGTCTGTTAAAATGTTATGTGATTGGCATTCAAGCAGTGCTGTGTACCCTGGTCAAGGTTCTGCTGGCTGCCTCAAACAGGCCAAGGTGAAACCTGCACAGACGACGCTCATATTAAGCAACCTTTTTGTCCTGAGACTTCAGTTTAAAGGACCCCAGATCATGAGCTCATGTAAAGTTGTATAATCTGGAGCAGTGTCTTTTGCTTTCTTGAGGCTCAGTGCTTAGAATAGGTTCTGATAACTGGATGCATGTGCTCTGCCTTTGCTGTGTGAAACAGCTAGTTTTTCTGATGATTGACTGAGTGGCTGTTTATGCCAAATTCCAGCGTACAGTGACCCACTGTGTACACCAGATCCAGCAGCATGGCTTTTCCATTTACAAGTAAAAAGAAGAAATATCCCCGTATGGTCTGTTTACCATTGACAGTCTTCTATTTCCTGACTGATGTTCTCTCCATCATTTAGGTGGCCAGAGGCAACCTCCTTATGGGACATCCTGGGTTCCTGTGGCATTGGGCATTCTCACAGCTCTGGTCACAGCTGTTGCCCTGGCTCTTATTCTCCTTCGAAAAAGAAGAAAGGAAACTCGGTTTGGGTAAGGGAGGCTCTCCTTGTGCTGGTTAGAGAGATCTTCGCTTTCTCCTCTAGTGTGGTTTCCATATCAATTATTTTTCAAAGCATTGTGGATTGAGTACTTTTGGCACTTTCTTTGGATAACTTTTCCACAATTTTGGGGGTGATCCCGAATTAGAGACTAGCAGGAAAGTGCCCTACTTTTTCTTCAAAATGAGAACACCAAAAATACAATAGTAAAAATGTTATGTCAATAGCTGCACTTTATTAGAATATGGAAATATAAACTAGATCAAGGTAATTCTTTAAGTCCTTAGCACTGCTGCTTAAGAGATTCAAAATGACCCTCAACTTCTGTGTACTTATGGGCTGGGCCCTTTATCTCATGCTGGTTTTCAGTCTAGCAGCTGCTTGTAACTTCCTGACTGCCCAGAACCCTCTGGATCCCCAGGAAAGTCTCTTTTCCATCACCTCTGACACTTGGCTCCCTGCTGCAAGCAAGGTTCCCTTTCTTTTTAGTCTCTCAGCTGCACCCTCACAACAGCATCTCTATTTATGTGAGTTGTGCAACCTGCCCCAACCTGCAGCTTCTCTGAGGCACAGTGAGGAGTGACTCCCCTCTTTCAGAAGGCTCCCAGCCCTTCTAGGTGCATCAGAAAGGCAACATAAACTCATCATTCTTCCTTTTCAGCTGCACCCTCTTTAACAAAACAGTCTGTAGTATTTATATGGCAAGGGTTGAGAAATCATCCATACTGTTCAACATACCCCTTTAGAAGTGAATGGCCCATGTAATCGTGGCCCTATGTGTCTTTTCTGCATTCTAGCCATGCCTTTGGCAGTGTGGTTGGCAGAGGGGATCCAGCAGTCCATTTCAGAGCTGCCAGGTCTTTCAACAGGGAGGGCCCAGAGCTCATTGAAGCAACATGTAAGTACAGTGACCTGAGTGACTCTGCCTGAGAAGCTGTTTTCATGCATGTACTATGCTTTCTCTTTGTTTTTCCTGAAACTGATGTTTTTGGATCAAGAACATGGGATTAATTTGCAAGAAGGTTTAGACACTGTGGATGGTGAAGGTGAAAGGCCAGAATTGCTGTTGCCATACCAATTACATAGCACTTGCTAATTACAGCTACAGTCATTCTGTATGTTAATACAAGGCATAAATCTGCCACTCCCCTGCCCCAGTTTCACACTACAGGGACTCCTTCAACTAATATTAAGCAACAGTGAGATAAATATGGCTTAACAATATTAGCAGTACACTTTAAATTCAGTGTGCTGAGTTGTGCTGCAAGCATGAACCAATTAATCTGTCTGGGAAGGCCAGGAATTAGTACCTTCTCAAACAGGAGATTGAGTCCCAGGAATGGCCAGAGTTGGGATGATGTTTCTGTCTCCTGGTTCAGCAAGGGCATGGCTCTCTGTAGCAGTGCTGCGTGGCTGGGTTAGGATAATGATCCAGCTGTCTTTGACTCCCTGGGTTTAAAGGTCTCTCCAATAAATCTAGTGACCATAAACTGCTGAACTTTGTGTCACCCTCTCAGCCAGGTACTGTGTGACTTGTATTGTACTTAAAATAGTCTGAGAGACAGTCATTAAAAACTGGTGCAGCTCCATCAGCATAAATGAAGCTGTATGAATCAGTGTCTATCAGTGTCCCTTCTGATTGAATTATTTACAATAGATCTGTATTCCTGTTGTTGTAGGTGTGTTTAAGGGTGGTGTTACCTCACCCTCTCCTTTTCAGTACTGCTGGTACATTTTCTTGTGGTCGGAAGTTATTGGCCTCTTGTCTGTGGTGAGGCTAGAGGACATGGAGGGGAACTCTTGTCTTTTTCAGATTTTCCTGCTTACAGTATGGGAATCGGATTGGAGATGGAGATTAGAATGGGTGACTCTAGATATTGTGACAGAATATTTAAGTATCCCTTATTTGACTCTTCCTTTGTTTTTTTCCAGTGGAGAGTGTAGGGATCAGTGATGAGCTAAAGACGAAACTCAAAGATGTCCTAATCCAGGAACAGCAGTTCACCTTGGGAAGAATGTTGGGCAAGGGTAAGAACCAAAACTGAACAAGGATTTACACTGAAAATCCCACTTGTGTTACCTTGACCGTTGAGTAGGGAGAAACAATTAGAAGCAGCCTGTTTTCTCTCCTGCTTGTAGAATGCAATTTAAAAGGAATTTTCTCTTCTGCTGGGATAAAACATCTCAAAGGTTTAGCATAACTAAGAGGATATTGGCTAAGCCATTCCTATAATATGGCTCTGCAAAGTCATGAACTGCAGTCTGTGCTCAGCTTTCCAAAGTGCCGTTGATTCACTGGTGTGTGAATTTCTTTCAGAGATTTAAACAAAGGAATATGCGATTAAACTTCTGCTCTTTCTACTAGCAAAGCCGTGCTATAGAATTCCTTCCATTTACATAAGCATGTGTCAAGTATTAAATGGGCTGAGACAATACAGAGACAGAGATGATTTACTTCAAACACACTAACCCCTCAAAAAGACAAAGATGATTCAGTTTCAGATATTCTCAATGCCTGGGGTGGTTTGACTCCAGATTTTAGTTTGGGCTCTTACAGAAGCACATTTGGAACAGGTGTTGAATTTCGCTGATGTTTGTCCTCATTAGTTCAGGTCCTTAGGAGCTCTTCTGACTGTGGATCTCCATCTGGCTCTCCCACACAGATGCTCCTAACATTTCTCTGAGGTTTTCAGGTCAAGAGGGATGGGCAGAGTAAAGGTGGGATCTTCTCACTTACCTTTAGCTAAAAGGTTGGCCCAGAAACTCTGTGTGAAAAGGTGGGTTTGAATTTAGGATTCCCAAATGGCAGGCCAGTGTGCTAACTTTTGAATCGTCTTTCCCTACTTCTAGAAATAAGTGAAAAAGTGTAATGCTAAAGTCAGTAATTAAGAGAAGAGCATAAATCAGGGGTCATAAGCAAAAGAAAGCTGAAGTGTTTGGCTTCTGTTTTCTTTATAAGACTAGTTTTATTGTGGTTTTCTCCAACCCTTTCCCACTGGGAGTGTTCTTCCTCTCCATCCCTCCTAGAACAAATGCATTTCTTTCAGAGCAGGAAGATGACCTTCCTGCAGAAGTGGTCTCGGAGGGCTTAGCAATGCTAAGTAATTAAATAGGTGTGCCATCTGTTTGTGAGTGTCAGCTCTCGGCCCGTTCCTGGGATCCTGCTTCAACCCTTCTGGGCTGTCCCTGTGGCAGGTAACAAACTGGAAACCAGCTGCAGTGGGGCCTCTGGGGATGGCATTGGTGGGGAGGATGCTAGCTGCCAGGATCTGCTCTGTGTTGTCAAACCCTTTCCCCCAACCCATGTTCTGCATGCAAGTTATCAGATGGCATGACTGCATTACCTTGGGATCTGCTGACAGCTGAGCAACAGAGGCAGTACAAAATGCCTTTTCTCCTTCCCATTTTTCTCTTTTGTGGTCAGACCCACTGCTTGTGCTTATTGTGAAATAAGCACATGCCATACAGCAATGAAGGACACTTCACTGGTGAAATCTGTCCACTGGTGAAAAGCTAGTAGACAGACAATGCTTTTGGGGTAGGTGTCCTGAGTTCCATATTTTGTTTTCAGTCCCAGAGTTTCTCATACTAGTGAATTTTGGGTGAGATAAGCAGCTACAAAATTAAGGAGTGCAAATCTAGAGCCAGATCTAATTCAAAGCAGCTGTTACACTGTGATATAAAGCCACTTCAAGCTAAAATAATTTGAAGGGGGGTTGTCCAGTTGCATTTCCTCTGATTTCCCTTAGGGAACAGACCCTGGTAAACACCTCCTGCTGTGAATAAGCATATCCTGCACATACAAGTAGGTGTTCTATATTTTGTCTGGTCAGTTGTGATCATAGAAGTCATTCCCTGAGTTTTGAGAGATAAAGCCTGACTGTGTCTCAAATGGTTGAGTCCTGGTGCCATTACTGAGCTCTTATGGCTGTCAGCAGTGAGAGCTTCCTCAGCCAACCCATCCACTCGCTGCTCCAGCTAATAGCCCCCTTTCTGACCAGAGCCTCACTCAGAATCATCCTTCATGATGTGGCGTCCCCAGAAATGTCTGCCTAGGATCCCAGTTTATGCTCTGACTCTGCATCATCTGTCTGGCAGGGAACTGCTTTCTTTCCCTCTTTTCCTTTGCCTTCTGGATTGCCAGCAGAGTGGCCTCTGTCTTCTGGTAGTGCTACCTCTTCTAGGCACACATATGCTGAAAGCTGCTGGCTGGAACTGCAGAAAGAAAAATTAAGCTGGTAGCTGCATTTCTTACGGTTATTCAGCTTTACCGGTGACCTCTGGAGTGAACCTGCTGTGAATCATACTTTCTTCACAAGAAGCTGTTCCCTCACTGCCTGCTCTGGTCATTTCACAGGGGAGTTTGGGTCAGTTCGAGAGGCACTACTGAAGCTAGATGATGGCTCTTTCCAGAAAGTGGCAGTGAAGATGCTGAAAGGTAAGTGGGAGCAGGGCTACCTGAAGTGCTTAAGAGAAGAGAGCTTGGAAAGATTAAATGCTATCTTCCCTAATGCTCTTTACTCCACTCTGAGCTTCCCACTCTACCCATGTTGTCTCCCATCTGTTTCATGTCACTCTTTTTATGGTGGAAGCTCTTCAGGGAAGGACCTATACCACCTTGGTTGCTTGTACAGCACCTAGCACGTGGTGAGTGCAACCAAAACTAAGTTATAGCCACAGCTGCTTCTGTATATAGAGGATCTCGTTCAGTTGCTTGATTCAACACAGCACTACATCATGTGGCATAGACAGCTCAGACGGTTCTGCTTGGTCTGATAATTCAGCAGTGAAAGACAGTATTCCTCCAAGCATAAATCCTAGAATAAACACAAGAGTGTTTGGGCTGAATGCAGCGACAAGTTAACTCATCTCAGTCAAGCATATTTGATTAAGTAGTCTAACTCCCTTGTGATTTGTCGTTTGATGAGTGTACATAACAAGGGCAGCTAACACATTCATCACGTGGAAGTCTGTAACAAGAAAATCGATTAATAGATTAGGTATAAGTCAAAGCAAGTATGTACATATATGTATGTATGTTAGCCTATGTTATTTTCACCCCTGTTGCCTCTAAGGCAAAAATTAACTGTTACTGACTTAAAAGAGGAGTCACAGTCACTTATCTGGAGCTGAGTTTGGCTGCCACAGAATACTAGTTTCTACTAAATACGCTAGTACCACATCAGTGTAGGTTGCATCATTTCATCCTGTTTCAACAATCATTCTAATCAGTTTGCAAGCTTTTGTGTAGTGAGATTGTCTGCCTTCAGGCATCTAACTTGGGAACTCTGTCATCCTCCAGAGGCACCTTCCTTTATCCATTGACTGCAAAAACGAAATCTACTTTTGTCTTCTGAATCATATTTAAATTACTTGCCTCAGGCAGATAATGCGAATACTGCCCTACAGATCTGAGTCTGATTTTAGCAGGACTGGAGGACTCCTGCTAAATTCAGCAACAGCAGTGGGGAAAGTAGTCCACTGGGCTAGCTCTTGATTATATTGATATACTTCCATAAATCTGGAGATTTAAATCTGAAGCAATGAGAAATAATTTACTCCAAAATTATGCTGATGTATGTCACTGCTGAATTTGGTCCAAGCTGCCTAGTAGTGTGGTTATTTAAGAAATCTTAGCTCTAGCACCTTAGAAGACTTGATCATGCTAAGAGACATAAAAGTGTTGATATTTCGTGCCATCCTTAGCAGAGATGAATTGGGGTCTGCTGTGCCAGCCAGAGGCTCCAGGTCATGTCTTCAGTTTCACCATTATCTTAAATTTTGTGTGATGTCTCCTCTCCCTGACATTGTAGTTTAGATCCTTTTAGCTAATTAATTCTTACATCTTTAACCACACATGATTTGCATGGCTTCCAAGGAAAGCTGTTACTGAAAAAAGCAGACGCTAATCGACAGGTCTTCACTCTGCGAGAGCCAGTTTACCACATGTCTCTGCTGTGTGCTTACTGCCGCCTATCCCAGGAGAAACTGTCAGGCTCTGCTTTGTTGTAAACTGGTTCATCTAGCTGTAGGTCTGAGAGGATGTGCTGTGCCACAAAGAACACGCTTCTCAGTATCATTACCTGTAAAGCTCCTTGGAGCCACCCACAAATGAAGAAAGCTTACAGTCGCTTTTTTCCAGCGGACATCTTTACCTCGACTGACATTGAAGAGTTCCTGCGAGAGGCTGCGTGTATGAAGGAATTTGACCACCCTCATGTCACTAAACTGATTGGTAAGTCGGTGCTGGTGCTTGTGCCATAGAGCATGTCCTATTCCTGCACAATCCCACACCACCTCACGTACTCACCCCCAGTCCTGTCCAGCAGCAGCGCTAGTGCAGCCACCTCTGTGCTGCCTGGAGTCCTGCATGTATCAGCATTGCTCCTTCCCAGGCCTATAGGGAGTTGGAACGGGTGTAGGTGCTCACAACACTTGCCCTCATACGCTTTTAACAAACGTCTCTTATTTAAACCATTTCTTTGATTCTTGCAAATACTACAGGGAGAGTGTGGCTGGCTGAGGTATGTCTAAACTGCTGTGAAATGGGGACAGGTGGTTTGGTAGACAAACAGAGGCAGGGGAGATTGTGCCTTTCCAGAATGTGGAGACTGCTCTGCCGAGCCTGGGGTCTGAGGCTGTCTGGTCTGGAGTGATCCTAGAAACATTTATAGCTGGTCTTACAGGGAGAGCCAAGTGAGTGCTGCCTTTGAAGTAAACAGGGTTAGAGGTATCTTAACACCTTCTGGCCTGACACCATGCAAAGGAGCTTGGAGCATGGAACCTACCTGCCAAAACTGGATATTTTCCTCTGAATTTGTAAGAGAAAGGCACAGCAGCCTGTAAGATTCCCCTTGGGACTGATCTGTTTGCTAAAACTCCTTTGCTGTGTGTGTCCTCATCAGGAGTCAGTCTACGGAGCCGTCCCAAGGGCCGTCTCCCAATTCCCATGGTGATCCTGCCCTTCATGAAGCATGGAGACCTTCATGCTTTTCTGCTGATGTCACGGATCGGGGAAAACCCTTTTGTAAGTCTGTCTTACTGTAGAATTCCTTCTGGGAGAGTATGGATTTTCAGAGAATGCACTCAGATCAGTTCAGGGTTGGTCTCCCAAAGGCACCAGCAGATAACTGGATTTTAATACCAGAGAAAGCTGCAAGATGTGATGTTGGGAGTATTTCATTTCATGCATTTTGAGGACCAACTCCTTCATTTCATCACCTCCCTATATCCCCCATCCCTGCTCAGTAAGCTAGCAGTAAATCTTGCAGTTTTGCCATACATGCTTGAAAGTTTCCAAGAACAGAACTTAAACTCTTATTTCTTTCAGAACTTACCTGTTCAGACACTCCTCAAGTTCATGATTGACATTGCCAGCGGGATGGAGTACTTGAGCTCAAAAAATTTCATACACAGGGACCTTGCAGCTCGGAACTGCATGTAAGTGACCCATAAGTTTTTAGAGAAAAGAAAGACCAGAGTGAGTGAGAGAGGGATGAGAAGCCTTTAGTGCAACAGAAGTGGGGAGAAGTCCTGTCCAAGGATGCTGGTCCTTGCGTTTAAGTGACAGTAGGCATAGGGGAGCCATGGCCATGAGGGTGGGGGTGTGTGGTGGTGGTGCTGGCATCAGGGAGCAACTCCTAATGTCTCACTGAGCTTCCAGATGGACCCTATTTATAATGAACTTTTCCATCATTGGTCTGCACATATAGTTTCATAGACTTGATTACAATATGTATTTGTAATTAGTCACTGTAATGGCTGTGTGTCAGCATGGGCTAATTGTTCTGCAATATAATGCAACCAACAGGAGAGAATGGGTTTGGCTGTGCTAGGAGAAAGGAATTTTCATTGTAGCCTGAAGTCTATATTTCTTGTATCTATTTTGAGGACTTGATTATCACAATATAAGAAGTGTAGAATTTCCCTGAAAGCTTGTGGAGAATGCCTTTAGAAATAATTACATGGTGAACGCACTGTATGATCCCATGATGCTGTTCTAGTCCCCAAACTGCCTTGCCTGCTTTGAAAGGAAGAAAAGTCATTTTTTTATCCTTTCCACTTTGCTTCTTCCCTGATAATGGAGTAAGGAACAACCCATTCCAGCAGACAGAAGTCTGCCTCTGAACAAAACCACGACAACCGGTAAAATCCTCAATGATACACGGATTTCCAAAGGCATTTGAACATCCAGGTGTACAGACTGGAGCCTGATAGTCATAATGAAAAATGATAGGTTAGCCTACTTTGACATTTATGAGAAACCCATACTGATTTCCTATTTTTAAACATCTGAAAAATACAGACTGCCTCCACAGGAAGCCGCATGCCTATTTCGGTACACCTTCTGGGAAAATCAGGGAATCCTTTATGAGTCCTGGGAACATGAAGTCTTTGTGGGCTTAGCTTGCACTGTCTACCAACATATCTGGTTTTTAAGAGGGTGACAGAGCAATTGAGACCATTAACCAGGCCTGGAAGGAAGATGTTGCAGATCTAGTATGAGTAGTTGTAATAGGCAGTCTAGGCAAGCACCTTCTGGTTTTTTGATTGCCTAAACAGGGTGCAGGCCTTGGTGGCAACAGTCAGTACTGCAGATGTCCTCTGATAATCTCAGAAACTACAGAAAGTATCTGAGTTCACTTTGCATAACAGAGTAGACCATCTGAGCATAGGCATTTCCTTAGTCCTAATTATCTTCCTGTTAGTCTCAAGGAACTGATTTGAGACCAATAAACTGTTTCACGTTGGTCATCAAGTAGATTATATCATTATCCTCTTGGGTGGTACTTGATAAACTATATACCTCAGTTCCCTGGACATAACTTTCTTATTTTTCCCTGAGGTGGCCAATATATACTTTTCTTAGTCATTAAAAATTTCCCTTAGGTTGGATGAGAACATGAACGTGAGTGTTGCAGACTTTGGGCTTTCTAAGAAAATCTACAGTGGAGACTACTACCGTCAGGGCTGTGCCTCCAAGCTGCCAGTGAAGTGGCTTGCTCTCGAAAGTCTGGCGGATAATCTGTACACAACACACAGTGATGTGGTGAGTTTTGCTCTGGTGCATTTGGGGACCACTTGTATTTGTACTGAAGTGGAGGAATCCTTCTGTATTCATTGAGGGTAGGAAAAGGCCCTGGTGATGAGAGAGGGAGTTTGCCTTGTGTTTGAGGGATAGTGCTACCTCTGCCTTGGGTGCCGCCAGAACTCAAGACTAAAAATATGTGTGAGTTGTTTATGGCAGAAGTCATGAACCCTTTTCCTCTTGTCCTTTGGTCCTTCATTTCTAAGTGCTTATACCCATCCTCTTTCACCTTTCCCCTTCTCCTCTTCCTTTCCCTCTCTCTTCAAACAGTTTCTTCTTTTTCTTTTTCCTTTCTCTTCTGTATGACAGTTTGAAGGCGGCATTTGAAATGCATGTAACCCACACAGTCGTGTACAAGTGCAGCAGAGGTGCTGTAACCACTGTAGAGTAGTGATTGGTGATTGCTAGTTCAGCCAGTTTACAATAGACATTGGTCAGGGCTTGTGAAAGTAATAATTTTTTGCACCTAACAAACCTTGCAGTTTAGTTTAAATGTAGAAGTACAACTGTTGCAGGGTAGAGCAAAAAGAGACCCGTAAGTGGTTTGTTCCTTGCCCTGTTTATTGGTTAAACTCGGTTTTCATTTGTGCCTGTATGTTTCCAGTAACTTAGAATCTGGCTCAATGAATTAAGAAACTGCTTTGTGAGCCCCAACCCAGAATCTTCCTGTAGCTGGGAACCACAAAAGTGATAGCACATACCTTAAAGAACTGTGAGTAGGAGATGCTTGGTAGAGGTCTGCAGGTGGAAGTCAGCAGTAGCTCACAAACCTTCCCCTGCTCCTCTGCAGAATGGGGCCAGACAGGGCCTTCAGCTGTCTCCCAAGATGATGTGTCAGCATCAGCAGCATCTGGTGGCTCATTTTTTTGTTTTCTAGCTAAAGTTTGGATAGTCCTTGCATAACTGCTGCTCATGTGATATTACCCCAGACTGGGAGGGCTGGCACAGTCTGAGCATACTGAAACCCCACCCCAGCGAGCAGGGAACAGTCTGTTCACTTGTTCTGTGTGCTGTTCCCTTTCAGTGGGCATTTGGGGTGACCATGTGGGAGATCGTGACCCGAGGGCAAACCCCTTACGCTGGCATTGAGAATGCAGAAATCTACAACTACCTCATCAGCGGGAACAGGCTGAAGCAGCCGCCGGAGTGCCTGGAAGATGTGTGAGTACTTCCTCGCCTGCTGACATGTGATTCCTTGAGAAGTTTGGCTCGATGGAATGAAACAGGGGCAGCTGGCTGGGATGCTGATCTGAATCTGTCCACTTCCCAGTACACAGAGGCATTCACTAGAAAGTCTCTGGGTTAGCTACCAGATACTCTGCTGGCAGAGCTCCCTGGAACCTGCGGTAGCTACACGAGCAGCTAACTTGGCTCAAGGGTTTGAACATTGTCAACGTTAGGCTTTGTGGAAACTATAACTGTGTTTCCAGAAACTCACTGCTCCCTACCTTCTCAGGCCAACATCTGAGAAAAGAAATTAGTTTCATGGGATACCCTGAAGACTGAATAGAAAAGTCATCTAGCCAGACTAAGAGGAAACTGGATTGCAGAAGCAGTGGCGTGCGTGTGTCTTTCAAAGCTTAGCCTGGTTTTCAAAATTGGATCTACTACTCTCACAGAAATAGCAGGATGGAAGAGAAGAGAGCAGATAGGAGGATCTAAGGTTCTGTAGATCAGTGTCCCACCTTAAATTACAGGTGAAACAAAACCAGGACAACTCTGCAGATACTGCTTCTGGACATTTTCAGACTTGCAGGAGGGACTCCGGTATCCCATGGGGGAGCAGGCAGCCACATGCTGCAGTCTGTGCTCCTGCCTTAGTTCTGCAGCCAAGGGGCCATTGTTGGCCAGCAGGTTACATGAAATGTTTGCTCAGGAACCCTTGCTCCATGGGTGGTGGCTGGAGTTTTCTGGAGTCCACACACGGGGCTGAGGTCCCCCGGGGAGTGTCACTGTAACTTCTCCCAGGGTAAAAGCTTGCCTAGGCCGGACAAGGTGAAATCATTTCACTTGAGTGCCCAAACAAGTCTCTGTTTTGTCAGTGTCGTGCCCAGAGCAAGACATAACTATGAGTTTAGTGGCCTTTTCGAGCCTTGTTGGTAAAATGGATAACATGAAGTCCTCTTTCCTCCCTCTTCCTTCCTGCTCTGATGGTGGATTATTTCACGTAGTTTCCTTTCTCCAGCCTTTTTTCCCCGTAGGGAATAATCTGTACTCTTGTTATTAAAGCTGTACACTTTTATCTTCTCAGCAGTTCATTTTAACTGTTCCGGAGTTGAAATGGAAACACTGTGTTATACCACTGCTTACATTCATTACGTGTCTGCATCTTGACTGCTGGGAGTAGCTTATGGCCATAGGATGTTACAGATGCCAAAAATAGAGAAGAGATTCAAAAACCTACTAGGCATTGAGGAACAATCCATCAAAAACTACTAAGAAGGTACAGCCTCCATTTTGAGGGGCCCTTGAGCTACAGGTTATTGAGACCTGAAAGAATACACGGAAAGATCTCACTACATGCTCCCCCTCACCTTACGTACTTTCTCCAGGCATCTGCTAGTGGCCACTGTCAGAGGCTGGGTACTGGGGCAAATGGACTTTTGGGCTGATTCAGTACAGCCAGTAGTTTTCTAACTTTTTTACAAATGAATTTCTTCTGTTTGCCAGTGCGGGTAGAAGAAAATAATTTGGTGCCACAAAATAGGAAGTTTCTATTTTTATCTGGAGCATTTAGAGTTGTTTCTACTGTTTGTGAGGGACGTAAATCAGGATTAGGACAACTGATCCATAGAAGCTTTCTGTAAAACTAGTGTGAGATCAAAAACAGTCTAGTAAAGCTGATAGCAAGCAAGGGACACAAAAAGTAAAATAAAAACCGTCAGAAATGTTTTATTTCCCAGAAGAGGCCATATCAAATTTTTTCCATTTACAAGTGTAACTGAGGTTCATTTGTCTGTGGTGTTTTTCAGTGCCAGTACAGTGCTTTGTCCCTGTTCCCTGCAGAACTGGCAACAATAACGCCATAGGAATGCAGCTGCCAGTCTTGTGGGTGATGCACAAAGAGGAGGAGGACAATGGCTCTGGCCGCACTCCAGCCCCGTGGGCTCCAGTGGGAGGATGGCCCGTGCAGGCACCCAGCCATGAAGAGGGCCAGAGGGGAGCACAGCTACTTGCCCCCCTTGCCCGAGCACAGGCCCTTGGAGCCACCAATGTCTCCTCACACTGGCCCTTGGGCAACCAGAGCTGAGGTGGCTGGCATTTGACTGCCAGGAGGAGAAACCCCGCAGGATAGGGCCTGAGGCTGGTAATGGCACTGAACACATCTGCGTAGGGGTGGTTCCTTTGTAGTAGAAAGGCCGTTTCAGCCCAGGAGTGAAGCTGTTGTGCGTTCCTCCACAGCCCTCTAAACAAACCCACTGTGCCTTTTTCCAGTCCTGCTGCCAACCTGTTGGGCAGCAACAGCAACACGACTCCATTGCACCAGGAGCGCTGAGCCAGCACGGTGTGAAAAAAGAATATTCTGGAACTTGCACCTCCCACAGTTGGATCTCTGTTTTCTTTCTTCCTGTGTTTTATCTGCTCCTGAACTAGAATTTGGGGGGATGACTTCAGCTGCAGCAGAGGTTGTCGGGATGCTTTTGGTGAACAAATTCAAAAGCTATTACTAAGTGGTGTCACACTCAATCCTATTCTAGCTCTTCAGAGACAGTGAAACAAAGTTTTTACCAAGAAGTTCAGCATCCTTTGACAGGGCTTTTGGATTTTCTGGTACTGTCTAAATAATTTTTTTGACCAAAATGAGAATGCCTTTGTATGTGGGAAGGAACAAGGAATTAGATCCATAATGGCTTCCCACGTGCTGTCACCTGTGCAAGGCCAAGGCTGATAGGTTTTGGGGAAAGTATCTGTGCTTTTTAAGGTGTGCTGTGCAGAGCCCCTGTTTGGAGGTGCAGGGGGTGGCTGCTCTACTTCTCAGTGCTCTTGTCTCCCTCTATTTTGCAGCTATGATCTCATGTGCAGATGTTGGCATCCCGAGCCCAAGCTACGCCCCAGCTTTGGAGTGCTCCGGTCCCAGCTGGAAATGATTCGGGGGAGGATGTCCACACTCTCTTCCAGTCAAGATCCTCTCTATGTCAACATTGGGAAGGACAAAGAGGCGTCTGCGAGTGACCCTGCCCTGCACGCCTCCTTTGGCAACACGGACGGTGAAGAGACTGTTGCTGGGGCAGCTGCTGCTGTCACAAGTGACTATCGCTACATCATGAGCCCCTTGTGCCTTGGAGATGATGCTGAAGGTGAAAGGCATCCAGATGGGCAGGAAGGGGAGGACAAAAGCCTTCTGTATGAGCTGGAGACAGAAGGAGAGAAAAGTTGTTAACCTGTACATAGCAGTGACACTCTGCTTCCCTGGGACGGGATGTGTGCAGCCGCAGTGCCACGTCGCCTGGGGCTCTGATGCCGGATCTGGAATGGCTTTGAACAGCACTGGCCAGAGCTCTTGGGCACCTTTTGTAGCTTTCACCACCTGTGTGGGCTGCAGTGGCGGACGGCTTGAAACGACCGCAACCCCAGCGACCCCTTGGATTTGGGGGAGGGGGTTTGAAGGGTTACAGGTTGATTGCATCCCGCTGAAAGTTCAAAGCTAAGGTGGGCAGTCAGAGTCTGTGCTCTGCTCCTTCTCACTGACTGCTGGAGCAGAGCTGAATACACCTTCTGTTCAGTCAGTGCTCGCTCTTGTGTAGATGTTGTCTTCGATCCTGGCTGCGTGACTTCGGGACTGGTACCTCTGAAAACACTAGTGGGTATTTACACTGTCATTCAGGACAAGAGGGCAAAATTCCCCTTGTGTTCACTCAGCAGTACTGCCTAGACTTGTTGCCTACCTCAGTGGTTCTCAAACTGATCTGCGGAGCTGCTTCTACCCAGCACTGAATTTGAACATCTGGCTTATTTCATGCAGTGACACTTGCCGCTTCCTCAGTCCGGGGCTCTTTTAAGAGTTTCAGGTGTTCTGATGAGTGGTGAAATTAGAAAAAATGAAAACCCAGCATCCCTCTTCACCCCATGTACCTCTTTCATGTCTTTCTTTTTCTTCTGTTTGATGCCAGTTCAGGCCTGACCAGACTTGCAGCTGGCATTAAAATGTGAGGGGAGGGAGAGCAGCTGGCATGTGTGAGGACAGAATCCAACATCAAAAGGATGGAAAGGAAACAGTGTAGAGAGGACTTAACAGCAGTATGGGGAAACAGTGCTAATTAATGCTAAGTGCTGCCCTACAGGAGAGGAAAGAGACAGCTTAGATACAGAATGGCAGACTTGCTTCAGTTTCAGCGGGAGCAGGATTCAGCATTTGCTTTAAAATAGCATTTGTTTAATCTTTCTCTTTAACAGTGCTATGACATTTTCAAATAACCAAGTGCTGTGTAGCTGCTGTAGTGAAGGTGTGAACACGGAGAGTGTGCGTGTTGGAGGGAAGGGATCAACTGGGAGATCTCTTTCTGAAGAGAGAGTCCTCATGGTGAAAAGGCTTGAGAACCACTGGCCTTCCTGTTCAGGAGGTCTTCTGGCACACTGTAGAAGTCACATCAGAACATAGACTAGTTAATCACTGCAGCCTTCCAGACAGGGCAAAATTAATGGTTTTGCTCTTTGGGTTTTGTTTTGTTTTCCAATCAGCATGTCTGGCTCACTATAACTGCAAGTGCTTGTGTGGTTTTTAATAATTTAATATTTTACTGTAAATCAGCATTTGTTTTGTGCAGTGGTTCCCAGCAAGGAAGTGCAGTTACATCTTGCTCTACTTATCCTAAATATTTGCTAGATTTAAATTTCTTTTATTTCCAGTGTGCTGAAAACTTGGCTGTATCACAAGACTTAGGATTCCACATTGCTCTTCCTCAGAAACAAATACCGCAAACGTCACCGTTTGCTGAGTTGGCAAAGGTGGGACAAATAAGTCAAATGAGATTGCAGACTTGGTGTCAGAACACTCCACCCTTTCTTTGATGCCCAGTATTTCCTTATTATAAGGTTCGGGGCTAACTACAAAATTCTGGTCCGGTTTCAGCCCCTAGTGAGAACACTTCCTAGGGAAGGGGAATTTCAGCCTGGGGCTTGGGCATGGCTCCTTTCTGTAAAGTTTCCTACTTAACAGCGCTGTCCTACAGCTGTCTCCAGAAGTTCAGTTTTCTCAGTCGCAGATACAAACTGCACCATCTTCTATCCCAGGCGGTACAGGGTTTTCTCTTCATTTAGCTGGAATGCTGTAAATGCAGGTGAGAAGATAACACCTAACAAAGGGTAACAAAAACCTGTGCGGTGCACATTTGCAGTGAGGGCAGAAGGCTATGCTCCCTGCAGCTGCCTGGGAAGCGCAGATGTACATATAGACTCTAACTTTGGGAAGCATGTGTTTAGTTTTTATGCATTTTTTAATAATAAAACATGTACTGTGTCTGAGTCCCAGCCTCTTTATCTGTGGCAGAGTTTGTGATGATGCTCACTTACTGCATGGGGCCACAGGGTATGTGTCAGCCTCAGCTGAAAGATTACTTTCTCCCTTCACCAAGCAGGATTAAGCTACTTCTTGGAGGCAAAGAACACATTTGGCCTCTCCAGATGGCAGTTACTCTGCATTGCTCCAACCTTGAGACTCTGAAGGCCAAAATCTGATGGGCACAGGCCAGTGGTTCACAAAGAGATGGGGGTTCTGTGGCCACCACTGTGTGGGAGCCTGGGAAGAAGCCTTTACTGGGACATGCTGCATCCTGCCTGAGAGTGCAAAACCTCTGCATCACTTCCTGCCTGAAAACCATCACCTGCACCCATCCAACTCCTGGCAGTGCTCTCTGTGGAAGAGAGGCTTGGAGGCGGTGGGTAAAATTCAGCTGCTGAGTCAAATGTTCCAAGCACAACATAAAAGAGCTGCTGGATTTCCAGCTCACAGAGAAGAAAAGGTGTACCTCATGTTTCTATTCTTCATCAGCAAACAGCATGTTGCACGCCCTCTGCCTGCCAGCTCACACAGAGAGGAAGAGTGATGGTAAATGGTACGAGTGCTCACCCCCCATCTGCAATGCAGGAAAAACAACTTCCGAAGCACGAAGCGGCTGATTTAGTTAATATTTTCAGGTTCCACTGCCCAGTGATGTCCCTTGGATCTGGTTCAAATGATGATTTAATCCTTTCGCACGCAAGCCTGGTCAGAACAGGTACAAATGAGGCTGTGTTGTGGGTGGGAGAAGCATCACCAGAAGAAGAGCTAGTGAGAAAAGAGGGGAGGAAAGGAGGCTTTAAAATGGGGACAGATGGGACGAGCTGTGAAGACAGCAAACCCGAAAGATGGGGAATTTTAAATATGAAATCCCAGAACAGAGAAGGCATTGCCCCAGCTGGGTCCAGGCAGGGGTCTGGGGTGGGAGCTGGCTTTGTGTTTTGGTAAAGGATGAGATGCTCTGGTCCAGCACAGGTGCTCTGCAGCCTGTTGCTCTTAAATTGTAAAGAGGCTGTATGCAGCTGGCCTGGCTCTGCATCTAAGCGGTGACAGCACTGTGATCCTGACCCCAGGGAAGCTTTGGCCTAACACAGTTCTGATTCAGGCACCAGTCTGGCACACTGGTTTCCTAAGTAAATCAAATGTCTCCCACACAACCACCTTTTTTTTTTCACCAGCCCAGTACAACAGCACAGTCCCTCCCATCCTCTCAGGCAACAGCCCTTGCCCCATCCCCTGGGGGGGGGCAGCCAAGGGGCACTGCACGTTTCTGCTGAAGCAACCTCTGTCCTGCACTGGTAAACCTGACCACATCTCCCTGAGGATGGGAGAGGGTCTCCTTTCTGACACAGGCTCAAGCCACTCAGGGCAGTTACCAGCTTGGCTGTGAGGCAGCGTGACCCCACCGTGCCCAGCAAGGGCAGAGCAGAAGCTCACAGTGCCGTCTGTGTTGTGTAGGGGTAGTCGGTGCGCGAGGAAAGATGCTCCCATCCGCTCTAGTGCCAGGGCTGACTGATGGGCCCTAGACCGCAGGCTGTGCCAGCAGCTCAGCCGGCAGATACGGGGGTGCTCCGGCCCCATCCGATGCCTGCACCATGTGGGGAATGGCCTGCTCAGGGCTGACGGCTCAGCAGGTGCTTGCAGTGCATGGATATACCTGGGAGCTAATGCACAGCTACCCTGGGACCTGCTACCTTCCTTCCTAGGCTGGGCTTGGGGGGAAGTCTTGCAGTCTTGACTCAATAAAAACACTCCCTGAAGTCAAACGCAATTAATTTTGAGTAAAAGTTTGAGTCTGGCTGACCAGAGAAAGGAACTGTATTTGCACATGGATATTTTCCTGATTTACGTTCTATTTTGCTGGCAGTATTCATTCTCCTCTGATGCTCAACAGCCACCAACTTTTTTAGATTCTTGTATTTTTTACCAGGGATTTCTGTGATGGGCCCTCATACACAATCCTAATTTTATACTGATTTGTTATTTAACACCCATTATGTTCCCTTAAAATAGCAAGATGTTCGGTGAACGCTCAGAGTGAAGGAAGCCTGGTCTCCTGTGGATTTGCATCCACGGGTGATTGCAAGCCCCAGGTGCAGGTTGCCCCTAGTTAAGGTACTTTACAAGAGCTTTATCCCTTGGTGGAATCTCTGGTGTCCAATACGGAGCGATTGAATTCCCATATGCGGTGAAGGTACCGATGTGGCACTGATAGGGTCTGCCACACACAGGCTGTTTTCTGAAAACTTGTAGAAACTTAATTATCTTTCAGACCTCAATCTTGCCATCCCACTTGGCTGAAATGAAGCAGCGGATTCAAAAACTATTAGGGCCAACACGTGCAGCTGGTGATCAAAAAGCCTTGTTACCATGGGAAACTGAGCTAAAAATCAATTACTTGGTCCAAGAACAGAAAAGACCGATGGACATGGTTTCTGATTGCATTTGCTCTGTCATATAAAAGCAACTTGGCGTCAGTATGAATCAGACCTCAGTCACTGCACTGAGGTCTAGTGACAAAACAAAGATGATCAACTCCTCGCTTACTAATTACTCTGTGGATCCTCCAGCTCAAGGCATGCCAAGCCAAGTTGTTCCCAAATGCGGTTAGGCCGAGGAAATGGAACATCTTTTGGTCATGTTTGACAATAAGACCGAAATTAGGAACCAGGCATTTCGGCCGCATGGTTGCTGGCTCCCACCAAGCCCAGCTTTCCAGGTGGTAGTCGCTAGCCACAGCCTGGAAAGTATCTAGAATCTAAACAGCTTTTGTTTCTTCCAGTTTCTTTTCACTGGCTTAAAATAGAACTGAAAGAAATGCTTGACCTCAGGACGTAGACAGCACTTGTTGATTTAAGCTTTGTTGAGTTCAGTAGGGATTTTATGGGATTGGACTAGTTTCCAGAAGAGTCTTTATAGGAGCTGGCTCTTGCCAGCCTGTGGTGTGAGAAAGCATGAATTCTTGAAGAGGAAAGAGGGTTTGCATGCATAAATGATCTAATTGAGAATATAAGATATTGCACTACATGCTGATAAACACAGTGCCAGTGAAGGTGACAAAAAGGGGAAGCTGAGAGAAGCGGTAGGGCATTGGAGAGAAGCACGCTCTGTATACTGCAACGTGGCAATTAGGGCAGCAAATTCAGAAGGTCGCTGCTTTCTTAGTTAATATATAAGACAATGATCCTGGCTGCTACCCTGTTATTACCCAAGCTGCGTGAGAGACTGCTGCTGCCTCTCGATTTCTGCTCCGCCAATGAATGTCTCTGCAACAGCCGCTTTGGCTTGTGCGACGCAGGTGTTAGCTGGAGAAGCAAGCCCTTTAGTCACTCACTGCTGCCTCTCCTTGTTTCTTCTTACTAAATTACCTTAAAATGAAGCTAAAAACCCCAAGGTTCACATGGCTAGACAATGTAACGCAGTATGCCTCTGCTAACATCAGGTAAGGTTCAGATACAATTAATACATTTCCTGGTATTATTTGTCTACATTATCCCTCCTCTTGCACAAAGACACGCAAAGAGAAACAGGAGCAGAAATATTTTTCAGGCTTGTGGCTCGGCGTATGAGGAGGGACTGAGCTTTAACAGCCTTTTGGTGCCTGTGAACCTTGTACCCGAGCTGCAGGGTGTAAGGGCAAAGGAAGATGCAGACTTGGGGGTTATGCAGAGGACCCAAACTGCATCCCAGAACGAAACAAGCACTTAGCTGTTGCCAGAACACCCGGTAGTAAAAAAAACCCCAAACCTCTGTCAAACCCCAACTTCAAGGCTCTGCATTTACTCAGCAGACAGCTGGGGCAGTTTAAGTCCCATGTCCCCAGTATTTGTTTGCTCCCCCTCTGCTGGAACTGGAGCTCCCAGCAGCTGGGCCCGGCAGTGCCAGCACTGCTGAAGGTAGAGAAGACAGCAGACGATGCACAGAAAAGGATGAAGCACGGGCACATGTTTCTACCAGCACTGCTGTGGGGGTGGAAATCTCCGGCAGAGCAAACAGCCGGTGACTTCTCACACCCCCTCCCCCCCGTCTGGATTCACTCCGGCTTGTCTGCCAACACTCCCGATTACGCCAGCGCGCTTCCATTGAAGCTGATAACACTGGGCTGTACCTGAGGCAACGACTGGGCTTGCTACATGAAATATTTCCCATTTTTTCCACCTATTGATGAAATCTCTCTGGATCACCACTGAAACTGCTCAGGGCTGCTGCCCTGCCAGTGGGCCAACTTTTTCCTGCAGGCATCATCAGGCAAGGATCCAAATGAGAGAAGCTGAACCTATTTATAGCAGAAAATAACATGGCTGGCTATTTCTTCTTTTTCTCTCTTAATTCAGGAAATACTGCCAGTCTGCTGAGCTCTGTCAGGCTGTAGGTAGGGGGTTGCAGTGCTCTAACTGAAGACGACAGTTGGCCCACAGGGTCTCTATTTGGGGATTTATGCTCTCAAATTCGATCGCTGTCATCGTGGTGGAGCAGACCTTATCCCAGAGGCCTCCTGCACCATGGGCCTGAGCCTCCCATTGCTGATACTGGTGTAAATCAGTGACAAAGGCACTGAGATCATCAGAGGTTGGGTCCCTGGCATGAAAACAACACAACTGAGAGAAGGACATAGTTTGTAATCTGTCAGTACACCCAGCCTGCCTTTATACCATGCCCTGACCTCGCCTGGGTGAAGATGATTTGCTGGGATGTTGTTGGTTTTCCTCCCTGTGCCTGTTCAGCTGCTGAAGCGTTATTTAGCACCACTGAGCCCTGATGCTGATCCCACAGCAGGGCCAATGCACAGCAGCTCGCGGAAGTCCATGGGATGATGCCGTCACAAGGCTGGCAAGAGTTCAACATCGTGCTTTACAGCTTGCCTGTTTCTAGACTAATTTCTACTGGCATCGGAAATCTGTGAATGTTGGAAATCTGCACTTGCCTTCGTTCCAGGAAGGCTCTAAACTTTCATGAGAAAAAATTA